TAGTACATAAGCATTCATTGCTATATAAAGCATTAGCCAGTGAATAGATGTACCTCTGAGTCCTTTGTATCTCATGTGAGAGGGAACACTCTCTGTATCTGGTAGACACAACCTGGTCTTTATGACCCAAATGGGATTGGTTAGACTTAGTGTTAGGACGCCTAAAACACAACAGTTTACATGTTACAATGTAATTTTAATTTAGTTGTATTATTAAGGATAGTCCTTACCAGCACATGATGCTAGGAGCATGTGCATTAATGGGCTAAGCTGCCGCTTGAGGTCGCCATCTTGAGCTTGAAACTTGAATGCATTATAGCTAAAGGAATAGAGTTCATTGTACAGAGACTATATATTAATGATGTGCTTACAAAAAGAAGTAAAATCCCCAAGAAAGACCAGCTCCGACCACATTAGCACTGGAACCCTAATAAACAGTTAAAAACTAGTCAGATAGGTCAAACTGGTTTACCCTATAGAGGCCTAGTATCCCATCCTGTCTGTATATTGTTTTGAAGGCATGAGTAAGCCCCTGGTATTTAGGTCTCTGATCAGTTACTGCACCATCTTGAACTAAAAAGAGACATGCATCAGTGAATAATTTTATTTACTAATGCATTTTTTACTTAGGAGGTCATAGGACCACTGTAAGTAATTTGCTTTAAAGACAAGTTGTTAGTCCATAGTCTAATTGTAGGCATAGTCAGACCCTCTTCGACATTTGGACGTAATAATATATTGTATCATCTACCATGCAGTCCAGTCCAGACATTAAAAAAAGAAAGTGCCATCTCTTTTACATTCTTCAATTGTAAATTTTATACTGTAATCTGATTCTTTTTCTATCAAGACCTCCCAAGCTAACCTACAACTGTTTATATAGAGAGTAATAGTAGATGCATTCCAGTCAGCCCTATCAGTATCATGTGATGCTATCTCTAGGCCACAATAACCAGCAAGGGGTGGAAAGAGAGAGCACTCAAGCAAGGGGCAGAAAAAGAGAGCACTGTCTCCTATAGAAACTATACCATGCTCAATTCAAAAGGTAGAAACAACTACCTATAGAGTTATAACAACTGACAATTGTTTATATACTATCAGCCTTAGGAAAGACAAGCAATAGTGTCTACATGTTGTATTCGGTACTTCTCCTCCTCCTATCAGGAGATATTGAACTAAATCCTGGCCCTCGAACAGGTAAACAGATCTTTATTATTAAAGCCACATATTCAATGACTGTTATACTAATGTAGGAGATCCAAGGGAAATATTACGTGCAAAGTCTGCTACCCTTACTGATGCAATTTCTTATAATCTTGAAAAAGTAGCTGTGGAACTAAATGCTAAAGGATTAATACCAAAACAGGATACATCCACAGTAGGCTTTGATAATTATAAAAAAGCCAGCATCCTGGTGGGTGTACTGCAAACACAATTGGGTTGCACTAAGGATCCCACACAGTACTTGATTGATGTTTGTGATGTACTACTGAACAATCTAGTGGATAAAACACTAGCAGGTCATGCTAAAGATATGTTAAAGGAGTTGGGGATTAGCAGTGGCAGTACTCAACAAGGTTAGGCAACACGTCAGTGTGCATTTGCATATGTTATCATTTGTATTACAGAACAAATTACCAAGAGTACTCTTGCTACTACTTGTGGTGGAATTGAAGAAACGGATGATCCAAATGGAGGAGCCACAGCAGCAGAGACAAGTAAGAAATAATAACAATACATATTTTATAATGGGGAATAATTCTTATCATTATATACGTAGTTGTTGTACCTGATCCACCAGATGTTAAAAGTAAAGAATGTCCTCCAATGGCAAAAATTAAACCAAAAAATTGTACATATAC